TTGTTGGGTAATCATGACGCTTTACATTCATATTTACTAATAAAAATATTCTTTCTAAAATGCTTGGCAAAAGAACAGCTTTTCAAAGTCATCAAATAATATTTTGGAGAGAATAATGAAATTTATTGAAAATAATGATTGGGGGGGGTGGGCGTTGTCGGGACCTGTGGGCGATGGACACAAAACAGGAGTTTTGACTCTCATGGCCTTATGATAAGACCTTTTTAGATTTTTATTTTGGCTGTTGAGTGTAGAAACATGGTCTTTCTCCCTTCAACATGTCCTGATCGTGTTTCCCGTCACAGGTGCTGATGGACGGCAGCCACGACCTGGAGCGCGCCCAGAAGGTCACCGAGGCCGTCCTGTCCTTCACCTACAAGGCCCTCGTCGACCACCACGTCTTCCTCGAAGGCACTTTGCTCAAGCCCAACATGGTCCTCGCTGGCCAGGAATGCCCCACCAAGTACACACCACAGCAGGCTGCTACGGTGAGTTCATTTCGGGCTTTCTTGTAATGGTGTTGTAGTTCGTGGTTAGATTATTTTTAAAATTTATGCAAGAGAATTTTGTTTATTTTGCGCAAGGAATTTGCTTGGCACCCTCCCATTTTGTTTATGATAAGCAGGGACAGTTTTATTTATAAAAGCCGACAACCCCATTTGTTAATATTGGTTCTTAACACAGATTTGTATAAAACAACCCGTAACACAACTCTCCCCTCTGCAGGCCACCGTCCTGGCCCTGTCCCGCACCGTGCCCGCCGCCGTGCCCGGCATCTGCTTCCTCTCCGGCGGCCAGTCCGAGGAGGAGGCGACGGTGCACCTGGACGCCATCAACAAGTGCACGGCCGGCAGGAAGCCCTGGGCGCTCACCTTCAGCTACGGCCGCGCTCTGCAGGCGTCGGCCCTGAAGGCGTGGAGCGGCAAGGACGTGAAGGCAGGCCAGGCCGAGCTCCTGAAGAGAGCCAAGGCCAACGGAGCCGCCGCCGTCGGCAAGTACGCGGCTGGCACTGTCGCTGGCGCCGCCGGGGACGAGGGCCTCTTCGTCAAGAACCACCAGTACTAGACGCCCTTCGAGATCCACTAGTACAAGGACGACCTCGAAGCCATCACGCGAGGAACAGTCCTCTCTTTCCCTCCTTCTTTCATCCTTCTGTCATCGTCAAAATGTCATCTTTCTTCCGGAGATTTGTGTGTCTCTTGCCCCTCCCTCCCCCCATCTCTGCGGTTGAGTTGTCATGATGGAATGAACTTATGGATTTCTGTTTAAAGATTTGAGAATTGTTCGTCTTTCAGAGGACATGTTCGGAAGTGTCATAGGTATATGTATATATATTAAGTGCCGAGTAACCACCACCACCCTTATGTGTACCTAATTAACTTCAAAACTATATTGTCCATGTCCTGCACCAAAAATGTTATTGTTGAATCTGTTAGCATTCCATGTGTGACGCTTTGATTTAAAACAATAAAATCAAGGAATGTAATGTTGTAGATATTTAATCCTAAACCACAGTTTTATCTTTAAATGGAGATCTTAATATGAATATACAAAGAAAAGCATTTTGACATAGTACATATAAAACAAAATTGCATTTACAAAATTAGTAATGGACTTGTGTTAGAAAGGTAAATATAACATCCACCCAAATCTACAAAATCTTCAATAATGAATATTTTCAGTAATTTACATAAGCATACTGAAGTAAATTTGGAAATGTAAGAGAAAAAGTTGTACCTCAGGCTGATCTGATCCTTTATATGTTCCAGAAATGCGTGTTTGAATGCCTTGTACCTTTGTAATGCGAAGCCTAGGATTCAGTATAAAACCGAAGGAGGAGACTTGGAAATGCCATTATACGTAGAAAGTGGCTTTGATCCTTTAACGGAGGCGTCTTCGCGGAATTTATACAAGGTAGAAAAATCTCTTTTTTAGTCTTCGTAAAAATACTGATATTTGCCAAAAATAGTCCCTGCTTTAGCTTCGGTGTAAACTAGTGCAAAATTTCTAGACCTCCCTCGTTCTCAGAATTAGAAAAAAAGTGGAAGAGCATAATGTAATGTTGCTGATTTTTAAAACTTTTTTTGTATATAAAAGCATGAATGAAATGCCTTTTAAAGAAAAATCTATGCAAATGTTAACACCAAATAGTAGCATATTCATTTTTCTTTGTGGGTGGAAGTGCATATGTACACAAACATGCACCACACTACTCCACACCCCACACACACCATTCCACACGCCAGTACATTGCTAATTTCCCACCTTAATCTCCGCTATCCACATCTACTTGAATTACTGAAATGAAATGCCCCGCTTCAGACAGGGCAACCACCAATTACCGTTAAAGATATTGAGGGGGAGGAGACATGCAGTAAACAGATATATTTCAGGACTGATGAGGCATAGAGTGGCCATTCAGATATCGGGATTGGCACAGGCATGGGGTGGTCATTCAGTGTTCCAGAAGTGGCATAGGCATAAGATGGCTAATAGGAGTGAAACGTAAATAGGGTAGGTAGAAAGATTCCAGGGTTGATAAAGGCTTAAAGTGGCCATTCAGATAGCAGGATTGACAGCAGTATAGAGTGGCCATTCAGATAACAGGTCGATAAGAGACAGTGGCCATTCAGATAGCAGGATTGACAGCAGTATAGAGTGGCCATTCAGAGAACAGGATTGATAGCAGTATGTAATGGGCATTCAGATAACAGGGTGATAGAGACAAAAAGTGGCCACTCAGATAAGATTGATAGCAGTATAGAATGGGCATTCCGATCACAAGTTAATAGAGACAGGTTGGCCATTCAGATAACAGGATTGATAGAGGCATAAATAGTCAGATAACAGGATTGATAGAGGCATAAGGCGGCCATTCTGACTAGGTTGATAGTGGTATGAAGTGGCCATTCAGGTAACAGGTTGATAAGAGACAGTGGCCATTCAGATAACAGCAGTGATTCAGATAACAGGTCGATAAGAGACAGTGGCCATTCAGATAACAGGATTGACAGCAGTATAGAGTGGCCATTCAGATAACAGGATTGATAGCAGTATGTAATGGGCATTCAGATAACAGGGTGATAGAGACAAAAAGTGGCCACTCAGATAAGATTGATAGCAGTATAGAATGGGCATTCCGATCACAAGTTAATAGAGACAGGTTGGCCATTCAGATAACAGGATTGATAGAGGCATAAAGCGGCCATTCTGACTGGGTTGATAGGGGTATGAAGTGGCCATTCAGGTAACAGGATTGGAACATGTATAGGGTGACTAGTCAGATAACAGGGATAACAGTTATTCCCCACCCTCACACCACCCCCGTGTGGAGTGTTCATACAGCATTATGATAACCAGACTAGTTTTAGTAGATGAAAATCTGATAAAAAGATAGTAAAAATAGATAAACATTTTATATCTAGGGGGCATTATCAGTTCAAAAAATATGTCTTCTGTTCTCTCAGTTAATGCATAAGAACAGACTTGAAATGATAGTTTTCAGTCTGAAATCTTAGTCTAAATAATTCAAATGCCCATAATGAAAAATTGCTAGTCATTTTGGGTCACTGTTGGATTTAAAAAACAATAATATTATTTGCAATTATAATAATGATAACATAAATGATAATAAGTAATGATAATAATGATAAGAGCAATAATAAGCAAAACTGTAAGAACAATATTAACAATAACTAGAGTAATAACTCAAAATAATAATTAATTATAGTAAAAATAACAATGATAATTTTTTAAAAGTCTTCCATTAACAGATATAACAGACATTGACTTACTTCTTTATCATGTCAATTTATTCCTATGATCTCAAGTAATTGCTCTACTATTTATTGAAATATAATTTGAAATGAAAACACTGGAAAAAGTAAATACAATATGTCAAATAAGCAGTAAATAGAGAATTCCTGATAATTGGTAAAGAAAGTATATGTAAGTATGCAAAGAAAAAATATTAATTCTTATATATATGAAATGATATTTCATCTTTCACTGATATAAAGTTGATGATTTTACAGAAGTTTCAAAGTAATGACGATTTAGATCTACATTTCTAAAGAACAGACTTTATTGAAAGTTATTGAGGCATATCCTTTAAAAATGAATGATAATACTGGGTATTTTGTGATATCACTAAAACTTCTCAATAGTTATTGTTTGAAGAATATATAGGAAATGTCTCTAATAATATTCAAAACTCGAGAAACAACAACAAAGTTTGAAGGAAGTCATTCATGAAATTGAAATATGTATTTTCCAAAGGGAAATCAATTAAATCTAAAAATGAAAAAGAAAAAAAAAATGAGAGAGGAGAATAATTTTCTAGTTAAGTCATCTTTGTCAATAAACCACCAAAAATATTATGGATATCAAAGATCAGTTTACAATATTGAGCACAGATAGAATTTGTGATTCCTATTTCCAGTACAAAAGGAATGTAATGAAAATGAATTAACTATATTCTAGAAGATTCAAAATATTGATATACTTTGAATATATGAATGTTTTCTTTTCTGCTTTGATCTCAATTCACTGTGGGTTTTTTTTTTTTTTCTTTTAGACCAAAGCATAATGTTTATGATTATTTTATCAAACATTAACACATAGTAGCATTGTCCCTATTTAAGTTCTTGATTTTATGTCCATCTCTTTTGGTATTTCTTAAAAACTGTAGACTAGATAATTATTTTTGTTTACTTCCAATCATATGTGTGATATTTGAAGGGATTAATACAATCCATGACATCTATTTTTCTTCTTCTTCTTCTTAGAGGGGAAATTGGAATAATTCATTAACAATGTAAATGGTATAGTCTCCATGACAAATACCAACTTACTAAGTAATACCCTGAGAACATATGCTTTATCCAACTGCTACCTGTACTGATGTGTATATATATGTAATATTTTTATATTCATTATGCATTCAGCTCATTCTCAATCCTGTTTCAGGTTTCTTCAAAGTGGGATAGAAAAACAGTGGATATAGTTTTATGTATATTTTTTCCTCGAACATACATAATATATTATTTATTGTTTCGTGCATCATCAAATAATATTTGGACCTTTTCATAAATCATGATTTTCAAAAGAAAAAAATCAATCAGCTATTACAAAAATGAGCCATGTAAAAGAAAAAAAAAGAAAGAAAAGATAAACGGTAAAAAAGATAAATGATCTGCCAATTCATTTTTAAATATAGAAACAGACGAACTATTTAACAAACTTTTATATCACAAATCTTTTTTGTTACACTGCTCCTTATGAACAACTGATAGAACTTCTCTTCACTCTGGCATGATTTACAACATACCACAGGCTCAATACAACAATACAATACTATACACACTTCATTCATATACAAAATGTATACATAGCATGACTCTCACACAGGTGCTGAACCGACACCAAGACATTTTTGTATCTGTCTTTTACCTGCTTCTTTTAACTGCCCTTCGCAATAACTCATACCGCACGTGATAAATATATAAATACAGAGGACAACATAATAAGTTGATTCTTCTTGCTGTTATTATTCTTCAAAAAAAAAAAAATCTTATTGCAAGGGGACCAGACACGAAGGACCCAAGAGTTTTGGTTTGTACTCGCACGTAAAGAAGAAACAAAACGCATAGTACTTGATTTCTTTTCGATGCGGTTACTCTTTTTTTTCTCTCCTTCCTGAGCCTTCCATCTTGTTCACAGAAAGAAGCTAGTACACAAAAGACGCAGATTTATTCAACACATGTACTTGAATGAAATATGGAATTCAAGAGTTAAATGATGAGATATAAGGACTTATGATCATTTCAATAGTTGTTCTATTATATATAATGTTTTACTTGACTATTATGTCTTTAGCATTTTAGCACAGCTGTTGTTGGACTTAAAATAATCAATCTATCATATTGACATCAACAGGTACATTCTAACATCACACATCAAAAAAAACTGCTTAACAATTTTTAACCTGATGGTGATGATCCCAGATACAATATCGTCTGGTTGAGACCTATAATCCTCTGGCAAAGGGTAGGTGAATTTAATGTCGGACTGTACATGATTTTAAGGATAGCTAGCAGGGCGCTCCAAAGATAATAATCCCCAACGTCTGTCTGAGGATATGAGATCTTACTTCGCTTGTCGTTGGGAGTGGATTTAGTAAGCGTGATCCTTGATGAAGAGTCCAGCGTCACCAGCAAAGCCCTTGCATGAGCCCCATTCGTACTTGCCGAGAGAAGCATTGCCGTTAGCCTGCCGATAGGAAAATAAATTTTTTAGATATTTGTTCCATTTATATGATTATGTATGATATATAGAAACTAGATAACTCTATTTTAGATTTGCAGCTGAAATTTGTGTGATACTTTTCTCTCTACTTATTCTTTCTGGGTACAACCATAAATTTTGAAATAAAAAGATAAAAAACAGAACTTATAAAATCAAACAATCACAGGACTAACAAAGCCTCAAGTCTAACGTACCTTAGCGCGCATCATGAGTTGCTCCTGGCCAGCCTTGACATTCTCGTCCTTGCCACCCCATGCCCTGAGGACAGAAGCCTGGAGAGCGCGACCATAGCTGAAGGTGAGAGCCCATGGCTTCTTGGCATCAGTGCTCTTGTTAATAGCATCAAGATGGACTGAGGCCTCTTCCTCAGACTGACCACCAGAGAGGAAGGTCACGCCAGGAACAGCAGCGGGCATGGTGCGGGACAGAGCAACCACTGTGGCCTAGGGAATCGAGAAAGGTTAACTGTCATTGGCTTTGGTGTGTATGTAGTGTTGTCAAAGCTCCAGTCTTAGAGGCTATTAAAACCGAGTCTTTTAAAATTCAACTGAAACCCTAATGTACTTATTTAACTATAATATCATATACAGTAAGAGATTACAAACCCTTTCTTAAGTAATCAAATATTCCTTAACTGATTAAGCAAAACCAGACTTTGACTTTATGAAGGCAATTGTTTAAGCCTAAAAGGACATTCACAAACACCTGAAAGTATTTTCACTATGGAGACTCCAGATAAAAGTCAATTTAACATACCTTAGCAACCTCCTGGGGAGTGTATTTCTTGGGGCATGACTGACCAGCAGTGACCATGTTGGGCTTAAGGAGGGTGCCCTCAAGGTACACGTGGTGGTCGTTCAGAGCCTTGTACACAAAGGCAAGGACAGTCTCAGTAACCTTCTGTGCGCGGTCCAAATCGTGATCACCATCGGGAAGAACCTGTTGGGAGAGACAATGGCTTGAAAGAACTGAAGGAGAAATTATGTTCATGTATGACAATTTTCCCAGGCCTTCACTTCATCCACATATCTATCTGTCTTTAATATGGGTGATATTTAGGTGTAAATGAAATTAGATACAAAATACTAGTAGATAATCAGTCTTGTAAACTCTTAATTAAAGAATAAACATATTCCATTAACATTTCATAATAATATGATTGAAGCAACAAAATCAAGCATAAAATAATCACCTCAGGCTCAACAATAGGAACAAGACCATTCATCTGGCAGATGGATGCATAGCGAGCGAGGACATTGGCATTCTCCAACATGCCCTGATAGCTAGGGGTGTTCTTGCCGATCTTCAGGACACAGCGCCACTTAGCGAAGTCACAGCCGTCCTTCTTGTACTGAGCACAGCGCTGGGAGAGGTCATCGAGACCCTGGGTTGTGCTCTCGCCTTCAGATCCCATGAGGGGGACAACACCTTTGTCGACCTGTCATTAAAGGAGACATTTTTAATATGTAGGGCATTAATTAAAGTAAAAATTACTCTACTGGCACCATCCTATATTGAAGGTATTCAAAGTAGTGATTAAATCTTGAATAACATATCAGACATAAACATTAAACTCTACAAACACTCTTAACTAGATAAGAGAAATACACCCATATTGCAGTAAATCACTGTAACTACCCACAGCCTAAACGAAATGCATAAATTCCCTTTCTTTATATTCACCTTAATGCCGGGAATGATGCCCCTCTCCTTGATGAGGTTAACCAAGGGAGTTCCATCATCGGCCTTCTGGTAAAGGGTTTCGTGGAAGAGGATCACGCCGGAGATGTTTTCAGCTACAGTCTGTAATGCAATAATTCAAGGGTAATTCATTTAAGTGGTTTATTAACATAGCTTTATGAATATAGAACTGTTGAATGATAGTCTTTCTGCATTTTCCATTTCTTGAAAGTTTCTGCTGAATGTTATGTAACAATTTCTTATTTCCCACCCACAGAATACAAACAGAAATAATCATTCATATTCTCAACGAGTAATTAAAATAAAATAAAATAAATCACTAATCAAAGAGTTACAAAAACACAACTCAGTAACATAGGACACAAAGACCCCCATACCTTGTCAGCAGTGAAGAGGAGCTGGCGGTACTTGCGGCGGTTCTCCTCAGTGTTCTCAACGTTGATGTCGGCCAGGCGCTTGCCCATAGTAGAGACAGACTCGTCGGCTGCGAGGATGCCCTTGCCGGGAGCAACGATGGCATTGGCAATCCTCCTCAGCTCCTCACGGAGGGCTGGCTCGGGGTAGCTGAAGTAAGTGGTCATGGTGGATCTGGAAGGGAAAAGAGCCATTATTAATTCAAATGTTAAAATGGATGATAAATGTTGCCGAGATATTTGTTCAGCTGTTAAGGTTTTCTTATTTTGCTTCTTAATGTCTTAAATTTCAAATTTTTCTTATTTAGCTTTTTAATGTCTTTGATTTTCAGAAATTCTTTCATTGTTAGTGTGTGCCACAGTCTAAAATATAGATCAAATGGACCCCATCATCCCAAAATCATATGTTTTGTAAATCACATTTACAAACTTATTCACTTCCATAAGAAAACAGCCCCTTGTCAGAAAAGGAACTGAATAATTCACCAAACATTGATACCAAATATGTATGTGAAAATGTTCATCTAAACCAAATTTCCACATAATCATTTTAATCCACTTGTATAGCTTCCTTATTGAACAAGAGCCAATTTCTACATGTCTAGTATTTACTAATTTGCTCCAACCCAACCTTGTTTCCCTATAGTATATTTCAAATTTCACAATCTCCATAACATATTCAAACAATCCCAAATAAGTCAACTTTCTTATAATTAAGTGCAAGAAAAATTTCAAATCCGTCAGTTATTTCTGGTGACCTTGCCTGCCCTTGGGCATTTTCCCAAGAGAGGCTTGTGCCCAGTGCCAAGAGAGGAGACCGGGTGAACCTCCTTGACTTTCAACTTTCTTTTTCCCTTTCGAGACATTTGAGATTCGCTTACTTTCATATTTCTCTTTTATGTAGCTGTATATACTGATTTCTTTCATTTCTATCCTTAAAACTGTGACTAATATTCCATTGTTGCTATAAACACTTAAATCTGAAGACTTCTCAACATCCTTTCACTTTCTATTGATTTTTTTTTTCTTTACCGTTCCATAGGTTCAGCCGATTCGGGAGCAGATTCTGAAACAAAAACCTCGATGACTTCCCCACCGCCGCCGACGCAATTGCCCATCTCATGCACAAAACCCCGTTATTTGAGGAAAGACCACCACATGGGACTATCTGAACAACGTTATTAGGGTCGCCGGCCACGTGAACACAGGTCCGCGACATTCCTCAATTGGTATGCACGGGGATAGAGCGGTATGTCCCTCCGTGCAAGGGGGTGGTCGAAGTGAGTGGTTTGCGCTTGCCCGTGTTGGTAATAAAGGGTGGGGTGGGGTGGAGGGGGCGAGAGAGGGGGGGTTGGGGGGTATAAGTAGGGGGTAAGATCGGGAAGTACACTAGGGAGTGGGGTGAGAAGGTATAGAAGGGGGGGATAAGGAGGTGGGGGGTCTGGGGGTGGGGGTGGACAGGTAGCGGAGGGGAGGATACGTGGGGAAAGGGTGGGAGGTGGATGGGGGTGGGTAGGGGGAGGGGTGCTACGAGGGGAGAACATGAGAAGGGAGGGGCAAGCGATTGAGTTTGGGAGGGGGGGGGTGAGATGCGTGGGAGGAGAGAGCAAGAAGAGGAAAGAGAGGGGAAAGAGAGAGAAGAGAGCGGGTAATTGAGTTTTCGGGGAGAGGGAGGGAAGGAGAGGGGAGGGGGAGAATGAAGCGGAGAGAGAGAGAGAGAGAGAGAGAGAGAGAGAGAGAGAGAGAGAGAGAGAGAGAGAGAGAGAGAGAGAGAGAGAGAGAGAGAGAGAGAGAGAGAGAGAGAGGGGGGGGGGGGGGGGGGTTGACAGTGTTTAATTGAGAAAAAGAAAAACAAAAAGATTTTTTAAAGCGACGTAAATAGCGCCCGAACGAAAGTGAAAGGGAATAAAACCCACGAGAGCAGAGAAGCCGGCGAAATAAGAGAGAAGTGAAAGAAATCCAGATTATTCCAATCAGATAAAAAAGAAGAAAAGAAACTATTTAAGAAAATCGACAAGAAGTGACAAAGCAACTTCGACATCGGAACCTGCCATGATCACGCACAGCTGATAGCCTGCGGGTAATATTATACCATTTTCTTTTGTTGCATTTCACAATATCCTCTCGCTTATGACATAAAAAAGGAGTCCAATTTCTGCGTAATTTTCCAACGCATCGCACTCGTATTTAAAAGAAAAAGAGGCTAATTACCAATTTCAGCGTATATCACATCACAATTAATAACACGTATTTCTTCACTCCTTTTAAAGGGGTCACCCACCAGGAGCGGACGTGAGAAAACTCATGGCAGCCGGCAACCCTGTTATCCGGTGCCCTGCATCCCGTGTCCATCAAGATTACTGCTTTCTATCGTACTTCTTCACTTGGTCTGTAATCTGTTATAATATTGAGAAAATGCCGAGTTGTTATAGCATTATTTGTGAATCACTGCGAGGTATTGTTGCAGCTTTCCCGTGCAACCTCTGAATCGATATCTACTACGCGACGAAAGAGTGCTTTTGCAATGCGGTCGCGGCTTTAAAATTACGTAACAAAGGCACTGGAAATTTACTGCGGATAACGATTCCTGGGCGTAGTCCCGATATCTCCCGTGTGAAAGATTTATTCGTCACAATATCTGTATCACAGTCGAAGTTCGCAGTCAGCCGGCTGTGTTGTTGCGTCACGGGTCCTGTGCAGACGATACCTCTCGTATGCATTATTTACCACGGGAGAAGGGAAAACATTGACTCTACCTTCCCTTCGATCAATAGCAAGATCTACTGGGCTTGTAGCACGTTATACATTATTCATGAAGAATATAAGCAAGCTGAAAGAGAGCTAGAAATGAAGGAACTAGGAGAGAGCTGTACCTGATGTGGCTGTGACCGTGGCTAGCGACGCTGTGAGCCGAGCGGGGGATTGCTGCCGCTATATCTCTCGGTCTCTCCTTCAAACGCCCTTCGTCCCCTCGCTTCGCTCCGTCGGCGCATGCGCAGAGCCCCTCGCTCTCCGGCGCCCGGTTCGAACTCGGAGGGGAAATCGGCGAAAATGCGAGAGGGGAAACAGTGTCACGGGGTCGCTGTCGAGGTTTGGCGAGGGGAAAGACCCGGGAAGGGTAGGGGTGCTCGTGGGATGGAAGGCAAGCGATGGAAAAGGGGGAATTTCGCCGTAAACTGACCTTGTCCTTGACGATTCACCTCTACATCGATCTGCCCTTCTTCTCGCGGGGCTGTGGCGCTTTCCCCTCTTCTCCCCCTCCTCCCCACCCTGCCCCTCTCCCCGCGTCTTCCCCCCCTCCCCGCCCCCTCCTCTCTCCTTCCATGGCTACAAAGACATGGTGATACTCGTGAATGGGGTTAAATTTATCCAACGAGTGTTTGTGTATCGTGTAGATTGTACGCGAGGGAGCAACCGGTTACCTGTCGATTAATGATAATAAAAAACGTAAACAAAAAAAAATAATTCGAATATTCATTTTGTATTTAATTGATGCTTCACTCTGAAATGAAGAAACTGACACTGCTCTCGTTGAAATGTATTCTTAGAACCTCTTAGAAGAAATGATATTGCGTAACCAAAGAGAGAGATGAAATTCCCAGTTCTGTTAAGAAAGACGAGAAAGTTACTTCAGCCTCACAAAAAATAGATTCCTACGTGCCAATTTCCAGACAAGAAACCCTATTTACTATGAACATGTAGCATTCTTACAGCATCTACCATGAACACTCCACCATTCATACCATTTCTATAAGGCGTGGTACCACATCTATGAACATATCCACAATACCACAGCTACCATGGACATTTACCAGTCATACCATATCTACCATAAACATTCTCAAAACCATACAATACCTATCACAAATATGTTCCAATCACACCACATCCTCTACCACATCAACCACGACCATTCGCCAACTACACCACACCTACCACAAACGTCCCCTCGACCATACGACACCACGCCCGCCACCATACCACACCACGCCCACCACCATACCAACCCACAACCATCATCAACCAAACCCCCCACCAACCACATACCTACCACAAACACTCCCACAACCATACCGCACA